TTGAAAAAAACGCGCCGGCCGAAAAACAATTTTTTGTTTTGGTTGTCCAAAATTTTTTAATTTTATAAAAAATAAAAAAATAAAAAAAAATAAAAATAAAAAGGGGGGGGGGGTTTCACAAAAAAACCTACACAAAACATATATATATATATATATATATATATACATAACAAAAACTCAAGGGGGGTTTAACCCCCCCCCCCCCCCCCCCCCTGCGTACGCGCCTGTGTCAATAGGAAAATATTGATTAAGTCGCAATTATGTGAATAAGTCATGTTAATATTACAGAACATGCACGTAGTGTATGTTCGGCTGAACAAATCACAAATTATAACTTTGTTAAACAATCTTTTAAATTAATTGACAGAGGAAGCCGTTCTCAACGAATTATGTAGCTTATTCCCTTCAAATATGGAAGAAACAATTGGGCTACACTTTACAACAATCAGTGTGAAATCTAGGCACACGTAAACATCCACTGTCTATTTGCCTTGTATGATTGCATTGAGCAATTTGTGCAGTCAATCGTCAAACTTAATTGAACGATCAATTGCTAAGCTCTGTGTAACATGGTCCAGTTCATACATGGAACTGTTATTGTATTATGATGAGTCTAAAAAAAACAAATGCGGGGTAATCGGAGATGTCTATTAAATGTTTGTGTAATACTGAATTCAATTCAACAGCTTAAAGGGAAAGTCTAGCCTGATATTACGCTGATTTTAATAGAAGCAGGAAAATGAGAGGAACAGGCCAGTGAAAGTTTGAGCAAATTCTGATGAAAATGAGAAAGTTTTGAATTGTTGAAGTTGCGATCAGTTAGACACAAATTGGCAACACTTGCGAACTACAGACAATTGAATAGACTTTCATTTTCTTTGTTATTGATGACAGAATAGATTTGTTCATACAGGGGACGTATAGAAACATAATTTGCAATCATTATATTTAGGGTGCAAGTATAATTAAACATTTTCAATTTTTTTTTGTTAGTACAGAGCCAATGGGAGGTCCTAATAAAGGCCCCATAAAGAAGAGCCTTCATTATGTAAAGTATTCTGCTACTGTTCTACAAAGAAAGTCACTGTCTTTGCTAACTAACTTCCGTTTGGCACCGAAAATCTGTTAAGGTATTGTTCTTTTTAATATACTTCATATCTTGTGAAAATATGGACTTCATTGGAGGAACTTGTGCATTGATTGTTTTTGTTTTAATTTTTTAAACAGAAATATGGTACTAAATAAATGGTTTGAATCATTAATTCATCATCAATTAATTTCTTCACTCTGTAGGGAAGAAAGGAAACCTGACAGAGATGGTCGTCCATCTTGCCGTATCCTTGGCGTTATCTGTAGCAACACTGTTTGGCGCCCTCTATCTCATTTTGTGGTAGACCTACAATGCTGGGCAGCTTCTATGCTTCCTTGGTCTAGAAGTGATATTCAGTGTCATTGCTGTCATCTTATTTGCCAGGTAAGTTTCTTTGCACAGAGTATTGATCCCTAATTTGAATACCGTCTGTTTTGAGCCAGAAGGGCGCTAACTGTAGTCCTTCAACAAAGAGTTAATGCCCTTCTGGCTCTTAACCAAGTATAATTATCTTAAAGGCCCACTGCACTACTTGTAGCTACTTGCGCCCTCTATATAACAAACAATGCCTAATCGGTGACCATTGGTCCCCCATGATGCTCTTTTTCTTATGTTAACTGAGAGCTGAGTTGATGAGATAACCACCTGTCCAGTGACCTTGCAGGGCGGTCTAATCCCTCCTGTAAACTATGGCAGATAAGCTTTAAAGGGACAGTTGAGTTCTTGTTTAAAACCGCAAATGCCTTCAAAGTGCATGGCTATTGCTCTTATTCTTATTTATGACATTTCGAGTGCACTTTGAGGCCCTAAAATTGCTATGAAGGTAATTTTATACCCCAAATTGTGAGTAATTTAGATTAAACCCGATCATACCTAATCAGCTCCGATTTAAAAAAAAATTAAATGACCGATAATTCAATAATTTAAGGATAATAACAATGCACGGGCAGGCTGGTTGTGCGTATTATAACCAACACGAAAAAGCCAACAAAAAGCCAAAATTGGTATTGGCTGGAATAAAACGTATAAGTCGCTATTTCGTTTTTTTCAACGGCTGGTTAAAATTGTCCGAATATTTGGGAGGCCCCAGAAATATTAGAAATGGTTATATTTATGGATATTTCAGCCGTCTCTGAACTGATTCTGATCAAAAAGAGATGATTTTGTCATTTAAATTGTATGCTCCTTCAAATTTGACATTCAGTTTTTCGTTTTTTGAATTTTGAAAATTTTGCCATGAGGCCTAAAAAAAATAATGTTGTATTGCTCTTTGCGACCGACCTAAAAATCTTTTAATCTACAGTCGGCAAAAAAAAATGTTAAATGAATATACCGTATAATATATATAAATACGTATTCAAGCATTCAAAACTGAGAAATATCAGCCCAAAGAGGGAGAAAAGAAAAGAAGAAAAAAAAGGGGGAAAAGGGAAATTTCCGACCGACCGACCCATGTTTTGGCACCTAAAGGGCAATACAACATCTTTTTTGTTTAGGCCTGATAGAGACTAGCCTTTAAACAAGGCCACATGTCTGAAATACGCCGAGCGACTACAAATAGACTAATCGCGAAAACCTGAGTGAACGCCTGTGCGAGAATCACAGCCAATTACTCGGTCGCGCGTTCGATCACCCCGGGTATACCGCTTAGCCAGAGTCACGAGGCCTTGTCAAAAGGCTAGATAGAGACTAGCACGTGAACAGTAAACAAATTAATGTGCTTGAATCTTGTAACAACTTTTAAAAGTGTCCGCTGAACAAAGACATTTAAGTATTGTCAGACAGTGCACACACCATTCAATGTACAGTATGTTGGGACAGACATTCTCTCTCCCTCTTCTATATCTTTTTTCGACCACTCCCCCCCCCCCTCTCTCTCTCTCTCTCATGCTATGCTAAGAATGGGGGTGATGTAAATGCCATTAACAAACTACAAATTGTCGTCACTATCCCTCCCCCCCCCCCCCCCCCCCCCCCCCCCATGGCTTGGGAAACATTGTTGATTGTATTACTAAATTTTCACGGGCTTTCATGCGGATACCTTTGATAGTTATACTCGTTTTTATGTTCATATTTCCGGGTAAAAATAATGTCCTAAATGTTCCTGGCTGTTAGAGGAAAATCCCTCTTACTCCATAACAACCTTCTGTAAATTCGTTTCGAAAAGAAACAGATTCCTAGTTTTCAGGTTCTCGTATTTCTCATCACTTTCTATCTCATAATTTCAGGTTCTCAAGTTTTCTCCAAGTGCTCACATTAATAGATAAGAAAGGGAACCAAGGCCCTGTATCATAAAACTTGTCATCAATTATTAACAAGTTAGAATAACTGTTATGAGCTACTGAGATCGTGGCATGAGATTGAGTGAGAGCAACTTTGTCTTAGAAATTAAGAATTTGTTATTTATAACACTTTGTATGAAACAGGGCCCAGGTCGGTTTATACTTCGAGAGTGCAATACAACGCTGAGAAACACAGGTACACATTAAATTCACTGTAAGCGATATTATATTCATTTGACTTAGCGTTTTACACTTAAAAGCTGAACTAGTATCATACAACAATGTGAAATTTTGTGTAAAGTATTAGAAATGCTTTTGAAAACAAGCATGTTTGACATGTTCGATGGCGAAAATGTCTATTTACAGAGCTCGGTATTTTTGAGGAAATTTTACTGACACCGAGAGATTTAAGACATAATTTCATAAAACAGCAAATGAGACGATGAGAAAAATCCTAAATTTTAACTTGAATTATCACTATAACTCCTCGTGTTATGTTCCAAACCATAGTCTACAGAACAGGTCGTCGTTAAAGAGGTTTCATGGACATGGCTTTTTGGTTGCCTTGAAGAGATTCACTTCTCCACAAATACTTACACGTACACTTACCGGCGCACACTACACGATCCGACTGCGATCTGTTTGAAGAAATGGCAATTATATTGGACATCACAAATGTCTCTAAGCGCTTTACAAATATATACAAATGTAAACAAAGAACGTTTTGCTGATTTAAATTGTAAATAATGCTAAGAATACTTACAACAATCAATGTAGTGCCTTTAATTCTTCTAGTCACAATTAATTCCGATTCGGCTCCAAATCGTAGACAATCTTATTACTGGTATGACGTCACTAAGATTCTGAGCCTATTTACCTTTTCCTCCGTCAAAAGTTAGATTATATTAATAACATGAATAAACATGTTGGAATGTTCATATAAAATGCTGTTGTTAATTATTCCAAAATCGGGTCGCAGTCAGATCGTGTTGTGTGCGCTTAGCCTTAGGAATCAGTAAGTAGAAGCCTTTAAATGATAATTCACTTATTCAGCAAACATCAAATAATACAATTGCAGTCATGGTGATTGAAATCCTAATATTGAAAGAAGAAGGAAACTGCCGATTCAAGTAATTATACAGATTTGTATTCAAGCATGTCATAAAGCCATCATTCTTCGAGGATACACGTTAAGTCTATGATTGCCAATTATGTTACCGATTTTCTAACAGATTTTAACTTCAATGTATACCTTTCACAGAATCAGGAACAACAACATCAGCAACAACAATGTTAATGATGATGATGATGATGGTAATAATAATATTAATGACAATGATAATATTAATGATAACGATGACAATACAACTGATGATAGTGAAAACGAATATTATGAAGACAATAATTATGGTGATAATAGTATAAAAGTGACAATATGAGTAACGCGATTATACAACTACTAATACTACTATAACTTCAACTACTACTACTTCTACTACTACTACTAATTATGTTGCGGATGCTACTACAACTACTACTACTACTACTACTAACACTACTTATACTACTACTACTACTACTACTACTACTACTACTAACACTTTCATTACTGATAACCATCACACGTATCTCTATATTCCTACATGACTGCTACTTGTTTGGGATCAAGACATTTGTCTTTAGATTAATGGTCAGATTTGTGGTCAATTTATCCCAGAAATAATCTTGTCCTCTCACGTCCTCAGTCCAGTGGATATAGGGCCTGTCATCACTGAGGTACAATCTCGCCAAGAATGGCATTTCATCATCTGGGATGTCTTCGAGGAAAACCACGACTACGAATTCCGTCAGAGTGTCACTCACGTGGTCCATGGCCGTACGGAACTTGAGTATGAACCAGTGGTCTTGCACAGCAGCTCTGCTAAGCACTACGATGGTCTTGTAACTATGGCTCACCACGTAATGGACGGAATCTAAGTAATGCATACCCAACACAAGGTCTTGGTCACCATAGACGTTCCTCTGAAACTGTGGAAGCCGTTCTTCGAGAGCTGGTCGAAGCTGTTCGCGAATCCATTCTTCGTCATCTTCGTCATCGTCGTAGAAAACGATGTTCACGTCAAACTCGTAGTCATTGTGGTCTCGAGCGTCTCGCATCTCTTTAAATCCCAGTACGGCAAGTTTCAAGAGATAGAGTTTGTACCTCAACTGCCATCGGTAGTGAAACAGCAGGACGCTGATTACAACCAAGCTAATGGAGACGAGGGGAATCAGAGAGATAGACTATTGTTTATTATGCAGAGTTTATTTGGATCAAAATCAAGCAGGGGTTTCTCACGAAGAGGCTCCAGAGATGCTGACGAACAAATAGTTTCGTTCTTGTTTTTCAGGCGTATAGGTTCATTTAACCAATCAATAAGCCACTCCATTTTACAGTTACAATCAATTGGGTTCGTTGATAGATCAAGTAATAAAATGGAGGAAAAGATCGGCTTGAAAGTGCTTTGATTAAGTCGCGTTAATCTGTTGTTGGCCCATGAAAGATTTGTGAGCTTCCAATTATTTGAGAACATTAACTCCTCCAAGTACGCGATACGATTTCCTTCGAAGTTGATACTTTCTATTTGACCCAACCCCGACAATACATCATCATGAATATGCTGGATGTTGTTTCCTTTCAAACTCAACGTCTCAAGCGATTCCAACCCCGAGAAGACAAGAGGATGTAGATCTATAATATCGCAGTAGTCTAGATTAAGTTCTTGTAAAACAGAGAGTTGCCGGAACATCCCTGGCGGTAAATCACTACTAAAACACAGGAAAGGGTTATAACTCAAGTCCAAATGATTAAGATCCAATAATCCATCGAAAAGAGATTCGTTTGCAGCTGCATTCCATAGGTATCTCTGGCCAAGGTAAGAGTTTTTCATGTTTAAATTAACAAGGGATTGTAAATGTTGAAACGATTTTCCTGGTCGCAAAGGAAGCCCGGTTTGATAAAGAGAGTTTAGGAAAAGTGATGTTAATATTGGGGCGTTCAATTCCAGAAAAGTTAGTTGACTTCCTTCCAAATCAATGGTTTGAATATTTTCAAGTCCCGAAAAGGCCGTCAGCGTAAAGGCCCGTAGGTCTTTGTTCGAGCTCATGTCTAAGAAAGTTAAATTTCTTAAACCGCGAAATACAGATTCAGATATTTCTCTAAACAGATTACCGGATAAGTCAAACTCCGACAAGTCTACTGTCCATATCTGATTGTGAGGATTTATTTGTCTTACTTTGTTGTCGTTGATTGCCAGTACTTTTAATGCATTCATGCCGTCGAAAAAATCTGGTTGAATTATGTCTATGGGGAGTTTGTTATCACTGAAACTGAATTCTCTGAGTTTTGTCAAATTTGAGAAGACTAAAGGATGGAGGCTATTCAGTTTGTTGTATTGTAAGTCCAGAACAGAGAGAGAAGAATCGCGCAGTGGATCAAAGAAACCTTTAGGAAACGCACCAACCGAACCTTTCAGGATAGTAAGCTCTTCGATGTCTGATTTTGAGATTCCGAGGACGATGTTCGCCAACACCTCATCACTCAAAGGGTAGCCACCTAGCACCAAAGAGCGAACATGTAGTGATGCGATCACTTGAGGGTCTACTGATTTGATATGGTTTTGTCTCAGATCTAGAGTATCAGTGTGGCACACAAAGGTGAAATCTCTGACCGTAAGGTGTTTTAGTCGATTACCACGCATGCTCACAGTTTCGGCCATGCCACATGAACTTATATTGATGAAGGAGAGCCGGTTGTCGAACAGATATAAAGTATCTATATTTGGACTCCATTCTAGAGTGTCATTGGGGAGCGACTTCAAGTTTGATGACCTTAAATCGAGAATGGAAAGCTTTAAAGACTTCATAAAGACGCCTGCTGCTGGAAGCGCAAGACGTGAGTTAAAGGATAAAGACAGGTACATTAAGCCCTTGAGGGGGTAAAAAGCGGCGGATTCTATCGCTCTTACATCGTTAAAAGAAATGTTCAAGGAGTTGATTAGAGGGTATATTTCAAACGAGGAGTTCAAGAGTTTGGTGATATTGTTCTTAGACAAGTCTAGCACCTTGGTATCCTCAGAAATGTCCAGGGAACCGTGTTTAGGTCTTTATTGCGGCAAGAAGCTGTTTTCAGTTCAATGTTCTGATCGCATCCATGGAAAGATTTGTTCATGTCCAGTGTTAAGGATGTCATCGCCGAATCTCCATCGTGTCGATATACAGATTGAAAGGACGAGCTGACGAGGAGACAAGCGACGAGCAATGGGTACAAGATTGAGCCGTTTGCCATGACGTCAATATATCACCTCTGAAAATGGAAAGGAACACCTCTGCCTGATGATAATATATCGCTTCTGAATACATGCTCACACAAGCTCATAGAAGCATAAACAAATTGTTCTCTTTTGCTGCAGACGTCAGTCTCATTTTGAGCTGTGAAAAGGCGCTCGGATATTTGTTAACTTAAATATTTGTGGTTATCATATTCTACATTTGTAATTAAAACTAAAATATAAATTCGGGAAACAATTATGAATGTTTTCTGACGAAACTAAAAGTCATATTGCATTATCTGTATAAACAAATTTGAACATTTACAAGTAATAAAATCGCACGCAAAATGATATGAGATATTTTAACGGTTGTGTATTAAAGAACACAAAGGGAAATATTTGATATCAAATGGAAGTTAACACCGACTTTAAATATAATTGGCCTACTAGTCGGCAATTAAAACCTGAAACTCTTTATACAGATATCGTACAGAAATATCAATGTCATTACATGCTCTTTCTGTTTCCAGTTAGGCCTATATGTTGAAGTTGAATATTGGAATACCACACAGCAAAAAATCGCAGATAAGAATTAGCAAAATTAGCATGATCAATGTGATAGAACGGACAAAATTTCTGAAGTAGGCGTTCTCGTTTGACGCTCGTATGACCTATCTGATCATGCTGATGAAGATGAATAAATGATAAAGTTGTGAGAAAGTTGTGATATGGTGGGAATTTTATCAAAAAATAAACTGTAATAACTATCTCTAGCCTATCCATCCCCCCCCCCCAAAAAAAAAAGAAGTTCATGCTTCATTCATGGCAATTGGTTAAAGCGGCAATGAAATGATTAACAGGAAATCATAACGCGAGAATTCACTCCATATTAAAGGTAATACAAAGTTTTGGTATGGGGTCATGAATTGGGTTCAAATGAACATATTGGAAGCATATGCAATCCTACAATATTCAGTGATCGTTGTCGCGGTTGAAATCGAGTCTTAAGTTATGAAATTGTAAATAATAAACTCTTTATGTTGTATAGCTCCCTCTAAAGGTCAAGATATTAATTAACCTATAAAACAATGTTTCTTGATTAAAATCGACCGATCAGCTATTCCCGTTTGAAAATTATATATCACATCTACCTATTCTGAGATTTTCATGGACAGAGCTGAGACGTAATCAGAAGGTTTCAGATGGCAAGGCCAAAATTACGTCATCTTCAAAATTAGAATTCTAAAAACATTTTGAAAGGGCCTCCCGCGCGAAGCGCGGAAGCTTATATGTTTTATTAAATTAAAAAAGAAGACGATTCGTTGTACCGTTCTCGACTCTTTTTTCTTTGCCTTATTAAGTATACATAAGTATACATGGCTACATTCAAATATACAATACTACAAATCAAATTTACATAATCACAAAAGCATCATTATTGGCATAACAAAGAATAGAAATTAAGTTTTGTTTTGCAAAGCAATTGAATCATCATTAACATAAAATTATACTGATAGCTTTGTTTCCACCTCTTTTTTTTTCTTCTTTAAATAACACCTAACAGTACTTTTGGTAAAAGCTTTCTGGTCATATTTATGTTTGACTTACTTTCCAATCTTTTTATAATTTTCCTGTGGAAAAATTGTTTAGAAGCAACTTTTTTCTTGTCTATCCCAGTCATATTTCGATTAACAATCAATTTATAAATGGTCCAAAATGCTATAGTAAAGAATAAAGTACATTGACTTTCACAATCTATTTTGAGCAGGTGTTGGATATTGAACGACACTATCTTTACTTTGTATATATCTCGTAATATTTCTTTCAGATGTTTAATGAAGGGCTTATTTAGTTTGCATTCGATAAATGCGTGATTTATATCCTCTTTTATAATAGATTTTTGGCCATACATCGTCATTGGATATTCCCCATTTGAAAAGATTACTTCTTACTGGCAATAGATTATACAGTAATTTCAAGTTAAACTCTCGTAATTTTGCTTTCTGTAGTTCGTGCAAGATTACGTTTGAATCCCGTAGACCAGTCGCGATCGCAGGGGGGGGGGGGGGGGGGGGGGGTTTAACGCCCTCCCTCAAATTCTGTTTATGTGTGTGTTTTGGAGGACCCCCCCCCCCCTGCTAATGCTAAAGGGTGACAAAAAAGTGACTTACTCCCCCCCCCCCCCCCTACTGAACGTAATATCTGTCGGCATAATTTTCCAACTTCCGGGACAAAAAAATAAAACAATTTGCTCTTACCCTCTCCCCCCCCCCCCCCCCCCGCTTATTCATCGGCTGGCTGAGTCGTTGCGAAATTTTAGACGCGTTTTTTCGAATTTTACCCCCCCCCCCCCTCGAAAAAATCCTGCGTACGCTACTCCCGTAGACCAATCAATATCTACATTACGTTTTTTTCCCAATAGAGACAACATGTGATAGTTAATACAGTTCTTAAAGGAATGAGTTTATAGAAACTATTGCTACTCATATCAGTAACATGTTTTACCTTATTTGCAACCAACAGATAAGGAACTTTGTTATCATTTTCTTGTCTACTATAATCATGCATACATTCTTCTATTAAACTATTGACCCATACAGGTGGTATCGCTCGTTTAAGTCTTGCATAGTCAAACAGAGCATTGTATTTTCGTTTGGAATGCACCTGCGAATTAATATATTCTGTTGACCGAAAGCCATCTCTCGTAAAAAGGTCTCCTAAAAATACTAGACCACTGTCTTACCAGCCTTTATAAAAGAGCGACTGATTATCATACACCACATGTTTGTTGTGCCAAATAATCTAATCTGAAACTTTGACTGGTTCATTTATAGATATACAAACATCTTTCACTGTAGTGCAGTATCTAATCATTTCCCATGCCTTTAAGAAGAGCAGTTCAACAGTAACTTGATGCCTCCCAACAAGTTGAACCAATAAAGAAACAATGTTTTCCACGCTCCTTGTCTGAATTAAGTTTTCCCCCTCCCGCGCGAAGTGCGGAAGCTTTGGCGTTTCATTAAATTATTATAGAAAGAAGACGATTCGTTGTACCGATCTCGACACTTAAAGAGAAGGTTGAGTTCTGGGAAGAGGTGAAAAATAATTTGTGAGCGTTACTCATTCTTATTATGCAAGTGTGGAAGAACATCAGATAAGACATGTTCCCTGAAAAGCATGGCTCTTCAAATGCCTTCATATTCTAAATATGCATGTAACATCGTAAAAATCGGGGGGCCGGCTTTTTACGCCACGTGTTCGTGTAGTCCCATATACATCTTTCTGTGTACAGTGTTTGTAACTTTACCAAGACTTGGCCAAATTTCTTATCATTTTGATGATTCCAGAACCTTGCAATACACACAAATTCTTATATGCTAGATGATCAATCTGTTCTGGTCGGTTCCACACCGTTTCTTTCACAATGCAATTGCATGACCAGAACTCAACTTCATCTTTAACCCAAATAATCGTCTGAATTCAGTGCCCCCCCCCCTCCCTCCGGGCGAAGCGCGGAAGATTTGACGCTTTATTAAATTATTAGAGAAAGAAGACGATTCGTTGTACCGTTCTCGTCTTTTAATGCTTGTTTGAATTCAGCCCCCCCCCCCCTCCCACGCGAAGCGCTAAAGCTTTGACGTTTCATTACTAGAGAAAGAAGACGATTCGTTGTACGTTCTCGTCTCTTAATCCTTGTCTGAATTCAGTTTCCCTTCTCCCGCGTGGAAGCTTTGACGTTGCCTTAAATTATTAGAGAAAGAAGACGATTCGTTGTACCGTTCTCGTCTCTTAATGATTGTCTGAATTCAGCCCCCCCCACCTACCGCGTGAAGCGCGGAAGCTTTGACGTTTCATTAAATTACTAGAGAAAGAAGACGATTCGTTGTACCGTTCTCGTCTCTTAATGCTTGTCTGAATTTAGCCCCCTCCCCTCCCCCCTACCGCGCGAAGCGCGGAAGCTTTGACGTTTCATTAAATTACTAGAGAAAGAAGACGATTCGTTGTACCGTTCTAGACTCTTAATCCTTGTATGAATTCAGTATCCTAAAAAGTTTAAACCTCTGAATTCTTTTGCTGATATTAAAGGAAGGTGAAACTTCGAGAAAATACAAATTTTATAGTACTAGTAGTTTCTCTCGAAGTCGTCACAGCGAATAAAAGTCAGAGTTCGTTAGGTAAAAATAAATTGCCGGCCGACCGACATTATACATCTCACTGACTTCAAACTTCTGTATTGATATGGTAAACGACGCAATTTTTTGAGGGTGCTGTTTTGAACCCCCATAAGTGATGTTTTTTCCTGGCATCTACTAACATGCAGAGCATCGTCCACGACACGAGCCGCGAGGCGATTTTTTTTTTTTTTTTTTTTTTTTTTTTTTGGGGGGGGCTATTTTGAACCCCCGTAAGTGATGTTTTCCTGGCATCTACTAACATCTACCAATACTGTGTTGGTCTTGACACATAATGGCGTTTTTCTATGCACATCTTTTTTTTTCTCACTTGGCAGCCCAAGGGGGGGGGGGGGGAGGGGGGGGGGGTAAACGTCCCTGCTCTCTCAGGCTCTTACCTCCCCCTCTCTCTCCTCTCTTTCGCCCCCGTTTCATTTGTTTCCTTTTTCTTCTTTTTTTTCTTTTTTAGTTTTCTCCTTTTCTTTCTTTTCTTTCTTTACCCT